CATGTAACTCAGCTGTGAAATTTCACTCTTGGCTGAAACTTGGCTCAGCAGCAGAGAGGTTGGGAACGGCCGGACCCAGCAGCTACAGGTGTGAAAAGCCCTTTTTTACAATGAGCTCTTGTAACTTGGGGGAAACGGCTTCAATCCCTGCACCGTGCCTTGCCGTGTGGGCTCGGTGTGAACGGGTGTTGGGTTAACACCAAGCGCAAGCAGCACGCAGGATGCCATCATATCCCACCCAGGGAGAGGGGAGAGGCATGTCCTGCCCGGGAGAGGCTGGCAACGGAGCAGGGAACTCCACCAATGGAACAGGAGCAGCACTTCTCCTAGAAAAAGGGGAATTCTCCCTGGAAAGGGTCAAAAAAACCCAAATCCAGAAGAGATGGAGGTTGGATAAACACATCAACATTGGTACTACCCCAGTGAAATCCTGGTGGAAACGGGTGAGGAAATGCACGGACGGCTTCTCCTCCTGATCGGGTGGAAATTCCCATCTGAAGGGGCTTCCAAGTCTCTCTATCACCGCAGACTGTGAAAATATGTAAAACAGCCAAGAAGAACATGCTTATTCCTGCACAGTGAAAACCCCCATCGCGCCATGCCCGTGGCTGGCAGGAAAGGGCCCTGTGATCCCCTAACAGCCCCAGTTCACTCCCACCCAGCGCTCCCATCGGTCCTGCTGCCGTACCGAGGGGCTGCAGGTCGTCTCCCCAGAGACACCACGCTGGCACGGTTCTGAAAATCTCAGTAACACTTTTTAATATACAAGAATCAAAAGTACAGCAGTTTTACAATGTAGGAAAATTTAATACATACTATATAAACAACATATTTACATCAGAAATCACTAGGACAGTGGCATTTTTTTCACAAATATAAATTAATATTAATTACTGTTTTTAGTCAACAGGTTTAAAAGTCCATGTTTTTACAGTAAGTCCTTCTCTCCCCAGAGGGGAGGCGGAGGTTGGGAGGAAACGGGTGAAAGCAGAATAGTATTTTTGTGTTGATCACTTGAACTGTTCACATAATGACTTCAGAGCGCTGTTAAGTATCTATTTCGTTTGGGCACCACATGGCCTGTCCCCACAGCAGGTTTCAGTCTGCAGGACTTCTCTCATGTGAATTCCCAACTTTACACCATTTCCAAAGTGGTCAGGTTGAAAAACCTTTTTTTTTTTAAAAAAAAAAAACAAAACAAACTAAAACCCTAGCAAGTTGCTACTTTTTTCTTCCTACAAAGAGGGTGGAGAGAATCCCACAGCTGGTTTGGAAGGAAGCGCTGCACCAGATGTTGAGACAAACACCACGATGAAATTTATGGCTGTGGACCTATCCCCTCCAATCCCACTGACATCCAAGTGACTGCATCTGGTTATGGTCCCTGTGTTGAGGGGACATAAAATACACGTGTGTGTGTGTGCGCTCAGGAAGGATTTTCTCCCAAATCTAGTTCTCTGGCTTCATTAAAGCCAAACCCAGTGAAGACCCACCCACCACGAGTGAAGAAAACTCTGTGACTTCAGCATCGGGCTAATGTGACAGTGAGGACAGCTCTTCAGTGGAGTCACACAAGAAGGAAACCCAAACCAACCTGGTACCTGGAACCCAGGATGAGCAGAAACCTCCACATCTGGACACAGAAAATTCCTTTTGCTAGGGTTCAAAATTTTCCTGCACCAACCGTAACACTGGTCTAGCCAGCAATGCCTTTTGCTACAGGTGTATGGCACGAACTTTCCATCACGACAGCACTGCTTGGTGAACAAAAAGAGCAATTCTCTTTGCCCTGACGAGGTTTCTTCCATTTTCACATTAAAAGCTAATACCTCTGAAAAGAAAGGACCTCTTTGTTCCATACCACAGCAAACGTGCCCACAATCACAGCTTAGTGAGAACCGTCACGGAAATGTGCTATCTCAACACCTCCAGGGGGGACTGTGGAAGACTTGCCTTCACCTCCTCCTGCACAGGTAAACACAAGTGTAACACTTTCTCGGGGCAGCAGGGTGCCCCTAAGGAAGCAAAACTGCCCTGCATTTGGTTGAAACCTTGCAAAACAAAAACAAAAAGGGGAGCAAAACATTTCCCGCGTGTCCCATTAAAGCAGCGGGCTCGGAAAGGAGCGAGCAAGGGCAGGTTTCGAGGGACGCGCCGCGTGGAGCGGGGACGTGGGGGCGTTAGTGTCGGTCTGTGTGCGCCTGCCGAGGCGCCGGCTGGAGTCAGGAAGCCAGCCCTGAACAGCCACCTCTCCTCAGTCTTCTTCTGGGGAAAGGACATCACAGCTTATTAGGGTCAGATACTGGCATCTTAATAGGAGGCTCAGGTTGTGTCCTTCACCAAAAAGAGGAGCCTGGAACAGCCTGGTCTGTAGCACTGAGCTCTGGGAGATGACGCGTCCCTGGACACCACGCTCCAGACAGCTCGGCTGTTGGGAGAGCTTCGTGGTCTCCAGGGATGTGACTCTATGAACAAAGACCTAGGACCTGAAAAATAATCACCCAAGCTACTTCTGGCCAGCAATCTGTGCACAACTCCTCTCACCACACCAGTGTCCTTACTGGACAGTGTTCTGCACCACACGCTGCAGCCCAAATACTTGGAGCAGCGTTTGCTCTGAAGTCCAGTGAGCTGGGCTGCAGACTCCTCTTTGCCACGCTGGGCTCCTGAGACATTTGTTCCAAGGACTTTTAAGGAATCAGTCCTGAATTCCTCATTCTCTCTCTGCTCACTTAGGTGCTAAGCCCCCAGGCACGTTTCCAATTCAGACAGACAGAAGGTCTTTCAGTGCAGGTTCTTTTAGGAATTCAGAGCTACTGCCGGAATGGTGGCAGGAAGGTGACCATTCGCTGAACAGTGATCAGCCCGCTGGGTGCCTGGTTAACTCTGCTCTACCATCCTGTATCCTTTGGCTGCAGGAAAGGTCTGTGATCACTGTTCTGCAAATTGCAGGAAGAAATTACCTGCCCAAAGACTGGAGCACTTCAGTGGCAGGGAAATCAGGAGCTTCAGGATTCCCAGAGCCATCTTCTGACCTTGCAGCTCCCAGCCAGTATCTGTCAGTTCCTGGACTATCCAAGCTTCCCATGTCTTAAGAGAGGAGGAGTTTTGCTATGAATTCCTGAGCCCTGCCCACTGGGAAATACTGTTCTCACCCCTCTTTCTTTCCTATTGGGTAAAAGTGAACTATCCTTTGCTAAGTCTGGTTTTGGTGGGTTTGGGGTTTTTTCGCATATCCCAAAGCCTCCGGGAGTCAAGATTTACCAGTTCCAGCCCTGGGGATGGGAGGAAGATCCTCCACACCCCTTCTGTTGCAGGGGACACAACAGAATAAAGCAGAGCCAGTTTCTTGAAATGGATAAAGACATGGAAATGATAATGTGGCCAGCAAAGCAATGGATTGTCACCAGCACGGCTCCAACTCCTTTGGAGTCACTCTGCAGGGACATCAAGTCCCCCTTTCAAGCAAGTTTGGCTACTGAGGGACTCTCCTGTCCCTCCCTTGAGTATATTGTCCCATTGTCCTATGCTGGTTACACACAAAGCCCAGCCCAACCAGTTTATCCCCAATCCCAAAGCAGCATCTGTCATGTAACATCAAGTCAGAGCAGGCACGGAGCCTTCTGCACAATCTCAAGCAGCATCGATCAGCCTTCTCGGCTTGGGGAAACACTGGCTGGGGAAAATTCCCGTGGGTCCATCGGACATGGGGGAAAACACAAACAAAACAAAGAATGAGGCAGTGAGGCTGTTTCCAGCGTTCAATGGTAGAAGAGAGAAGAGGAAACGGGGATCCAAACCAGAACAGAGAGCTAGGAAAAATCTTCCTCCACCAACTCCCCCAAAATTCTCCTTGACCCAGCAAGATGATAGCAGCATGTTCAGCGTTTCTGGTTGCTGGCTCGGAGAAACCAGCCGCTGTTGCATCAAAATGCAAGTATTTCAGACGTGCGCTTTCCTCCTCTCTCAGTCACTTTATGCTTTCCGAATGTTCCAATTATAATCTGGATTGTTTTTCTGTTCTAGCGACCTATCCAGAGGTGACCTGTGATCGAGAGGTGACTTGGAATCATGGGGAGATTTCTGAGAGGGGGGCGAGCGAGGGTCCGACACTGCAGAGTGAGGTGGAGGGAGAGGCTGTTTGTAATCTCCCGATTTGTCTGTGTGGAAGGACCGGTAGTGGTCCGAAGGTCCTTGGCCATGGTAGCCCATGGGTGGCCTGTGATCAGACATCCGTCGGAAATCCTGCTGGTGGTAGTTCTGAGGCCTGAACTCATCGGATCGTCGACGCTTGGAATCGTGGTGGTGCCTGCGAGGAGAAAACGAAGGGATGGAGATCAGTTCCCCAAGGAAAGCCTGGCCACAGCAAACTCCTCCCAGCCTTTCTGAGATGAAAGGGAATTACCTGTCGTAATAATCTCGATGGCCTCTGTGGTCTCGGTCACTGTTGTACTGATCGTACGGCCTCTTGCGGGAGAGGTTATTTGGTCTGTAGTTCCCGGAGCTGCGGTGGGGCTCTCCACGAGATCGCCGATCCCCGTAGTGATGGTCCTTGTACCAGTGCTGCTCGTACTGGTGATGCCGCTCCCCGCCCCACATCTGGTTGCTGTTGCCACCGTAGTTGAACTTTCGATCCCTCTGCCATTCTCCTCGATCTGCGACGAGGAAAGGACAAGTAAGTATCTTTCATACTTTAGTTTAAGCTCATTACTTTGCTCAGTTCTCAAAGGCATAACTACTGCTGTGCTCCTTTAGCTTTCTCCTCCCCAAACTAGGTGGGTCCAGTTTTGCTTAATTATCATTATTCTAGCAAATCTTATTGTCCTGTTCTTACGCTCTTTCTGTCACTATATCACCATGTTTTCTAGTCCATCAGGAAGTACAGTGGTGATACATGTGCCGTCCCACCACCTTTAAACCTGACAAGCCACAGGTCCCAGAAGGATTTGTGTCCAAGAGCCAACAGCCATTAGGTTGGAAGGGATGGCTTCTCCTGGCTTGCACCGCTCACCTGTGTTGCTGAAATGTCTCTTGTTTGGATGCCCATAGTTGTCACGCGGGTGCCCATGCATCTGCTGCTGGCTATGGGAAGGGGGCAGGTGAATCTTCTGGGAATGAGGATTGTGAGGCACGTGAGACTGGGACATGATAGAATCGCGGCTGGAACCTGAAGGCTCTGGGCGGAACGGCTTCTTCATGCTGGACATGTCCTCCTTCTTCTTTTGCTCCTGCAAAGTGGAAGAGAGGGTTACAGCTCAACTGCTCTTCCACCAGAAGATTCAGACTACGTGAGCAGTGGTCTGGTCTGCCAAGCTGTGGATTTTTCTGCATGCTGTGGGGCTAACCCACCTCTCTGAGGTCTTGGTGAACCAGCAGTGCCCAAGCATGGTACGAAGGGCAATGGTACAGACATGGTGGTGGACAGGCACAGTTTTGCTCCACACAGCTCTGTTTCTATATCCTACCTCTACAGGGCAGCAGTCCCAGGCTTTTCACTCTAAAGGTCAACTCAGCACAATGTGCCACATCAAACAGAACAGCCAGGACAAAGCGACCAGCGTTGTTAAGTGAAGGGAGAAATGCCATATGGAAGAGGGGGCAAATGTAACCAGGCTGTTTAGATGTTAAGAAAATCACAGACTACCAAAAAATAAGCCCATAATAAGCGGCAGAAAGTATTGCCACTTTGAGTGCGACAACTTTTTAGAGACAGCAACTGGAAGGAAGGTACTTCAGATCTCACCTCTTCTTCCTGGGATCTTTTCTTATGAGCCATCTTGTAGAGCTTGTGCAGTTTTCTGGCATCAAACTCTGTGAATTTTGACACAAATATCCATAGGTTCCTAGAAGGACATGAACATTTTCTGTTAATTGCTACATCAGCAGTTTGACTGCCAACTGCTTTCAAATCAGTATGAAATCAGTTCTATCCCCTCTGGAAAACAGTCTCAGGGCAGGGTGATCAAAATTGCTGAAACCGAGTCCTTCAAAGTAAAATAAAGAGGTTTGCACTGGTTTATCTAAAGTAGCTCTGAAATTAATTTTAAATGAAATGAGCACATCTTGCAGACAAAACCCTCACCTGAAACTGGTCGTGGACTGAGTGAGCTAGAGAACACAGGATTTCACAGGTTAAGAAAGAGGCAAAAACCACACTCATCCACATAAAACCCAGCAGCCTCTGACGACCGTTTTTAAATATCACAGACCAGCCAAAAAAACCCCAAATGATCCCTCACCTTCTCCATAGCTTGATATGATCCTGGTCGGTGTAGGCTTTAAGGCACTCAGAGATGCGGTCTCCAATTTTTAGGAGGCAGTTGCGTGTGTGCTCCAGCTGTTCTTGAACCGTCAGCCCCTTATCAGGCTTATCGAGTTGTTTCAGTGCTTTCTTGACTGGTCTCATCCTTTCCTTGCACTTGAAAAAGCAACAGAGCGCACAAAGTGATTCATTTGGCACAGGACTCTGCATTGTTCCCTTGCTAATCAGACAGAGCTGGAAGAAGTTCATTAGCACAAGATATTAGCTTTATCTGACCGTTAGGCGAGGAGAAAGCAGCTATGAAAATAGCAATTTGTTAGACACGCTGCACAAAATAATCATGAAAAGATTAGAGTCTCCTCATCTCCACTGCTTCCCCTGCCCTTTTAGAGGGGAACAATTTGCTTTGCAAACCATAACCGCTCACACTCTGCTCTTGTACAGGTCCTGCAGCAGGCAGGGAAGCGCAAGGAAGCATCAACACGCTGAACCAAGAGCCCCAGCTGAAGGAGTGCTCGCTCAGCAGCCTCCCTGTCCAGCCCCATCTCTGGTCAAATTAATCTACCGCTTTTACCAAAACTGGAAGGCATGAGATGAAAACACCATCTTTTTCAGCTGAGTGCATCAACACTGCACACAGGCAGTAAATCAGGAGGGTTTTTACAGCCTGACGGGGCCTTTCACACATCACAGAGGGAAAGTCAGAGAGAAAAACAGGCAAAAAGTAACACAGGACCTGTAGCAAATACACAGATTGCATTTAGAGAACTGTTTATAAAAAGTGGTATTTCAGCATTTCCCTGTGCGAGTCAGGCCAAGGAGTGCCTGCCATGAAAACTTTCACTAAAAGGCTATTTTTTTAACAACCCTTGCAGGCATGTTTGCGGCAAGAGCACCTAGACAACTGCTTACAGCTCAGACAACTCCGTACCTCCTACAGCCACAAGGTCACCCTCAAAACTCTCCTGAATTCCCCTGCCTGGAAGAGCCCCAACGGCTCCTTGACTTCTCCAGGAGAAAGACTCCTACATAAGGCTGCAGGGTCTTCCGTAACCCAGGGCTGTCAAATAACAGGCAGGAGCTTAGCAGCTGAAGAAGAGAGCCCTTCTGCATGCTCTTCTGCCCCGGCTGGCACCCCTGGCAGAGGGAAGGGGTGAACACGTGCACTCATGCAAAGCTGAATTTCGAAAAGGGTTATCTGAACTCTTTCACAGCACAATCGTGTGGTGAGAATCAGGAGCTGAAAGAGCTTTGAAGTTTCTCCCAGCTGAAGTGTCATGTACAGCAGCCACCTGGCAGGCACAGAGGAGGCTGGTGGAGAGCTCTTGTACAGGGTTGTTCTGCCACGCTCCCAGAGCGACCAGGAGAAATCACTGGCTGGGGCTCTCACACCCTAACACCTAAAACATGTCAGTGGATAACATGTAACCAAACCCTGACTGTCTTGTCGGACTCTCTGCCACTGCCCCCTCCATACACACATATGCATACTCACTATGCTGAATGTTTCTTGGTCCAGATCATCATCCTCGTCTTCTCCGATGGGGATAGGTTCACTCCCTGCAGTAATGTGGACAGGACCTTGCGATCTCTTCCCTTTACTTCCAGACTTGGCTTCACCACCTTTAGGCTTTACAAGGACAAATTACACACATCACATGATGAGCGAGACTGCAGGATCCCAAGCGATCCAACTAACAACCTCCGCACTATTGTTCCTGGCAGTTGTTAAATGCCGGGCACCGCTCCTACAACTTTCCTCCCAAGATCTCAAACTGTCGAGCTGCAATGCCTCTATTTAGCTTTACGTCATCCCTGAGGGAGTAGAGAGAAGTCAGGGACAACATTTTGGACAGGAATACGATATTTGTACTCATGGAGAGAAAACCAACATTGAAGACTTGGAAGAGAGATTAAGCTAAAGAATATGTCCTTTGCAAAGGGCAGAGCTCAGGTTAGTCTCATGTCTACAAAGATCTACAACTTCATGCGATGTTACCAGTCCTCAGACTCTCTGGAAAGCAACGTCAAATCCCAGCCTGTTAGTGTAAACTCTGACTTTTATCACTTACCTACAGTCAAAGTCTTTTACAGTCAAAGTCATAGCAAAAATCAATGGAAAACAAACTTTCCCCTACAAACTTCTTGGTTTGCACTCCTGACCTCAGTGTCAAAGCACACTGGCTATGCAGTACATACCTGTTCCTTGGACAAGTAGTTCAGGTCACTATTAAACAAGTTTTCACCTCCCTTCCAATTTGAACCCAGCCTCAGGGCAGTTGTACCCGGAATTTGAGGGACATTTTAGTCCACAACATACCACTGATGTCGAAACACTCATTCTGGTAAGTTCTGAACGCAACAAGGACAACTTTTAGTCTTGATGGTGTGGACAGTTGCGCCATTTTGGGCAAGTTTAAATTAAAGGGGAATACAAACGAGGAGCTGCTAAATCTGTGATAAATCACAGCTGAAGTGAACTTTGACTGAAGTGCTCCAGGCTCTTCCCCTTTTCCTCTTTAACATCAACTATTTGCCGATATCCCTGTCGTGGGGATGGCTGCACTTTAAAGGCAGCCTGACAAAATCTCTTCCTTTTTGCTCACATTCAATCAGGCTTTAGGATATATTGCCTTTTCTACTTTTTATTGCAATTCTTCCCAGTAAGAGTTCAGGAGGGCTGAGAAAGGGATAATACCTCACCCCACAGTGCTTCATTGATGTGTCTTCACACAGGGCCTTTAAGGAGTCATAAGTCTCCTAGCTTGCCCTTCTGCTCAGAGACTTTCACATCTCTTCGACTGCTCCTGAGAGTACGTACCTTCTCTTTCTTGTCTTTCGTCTTCTTTTTCTCTTTATCGCTTTCCTTTTCTTTCTTAGTGGTTGTCTGTTTTTCTTTGTTCTCTTTGTTCTCTTTCTTCTTCTGTTTCTTTTTCACTGGGCTCTTTTCCAAGCCATCCTCCTAGAAAATCAGTCACAGCACAGAGCTGGAGTCCCTCACCGCACGTACACTTCTTCCATAAAACTTACATCCCTGAAACGCAGGCAGTTTTGGAGGTCTATCCAAATTTGCCCTCATGCCTCCTCAACCAGACAGCAAGCTCTGCTTAACCAGCTGCAACACACCCAGCCCTTAACAAAAGAGTATTAAAAAAAGCTAATAGAGGAGCCCCAATCTGTAACTAGCTGGCAAACTGCAGATAAGCACTGCTTTCCTATGCCAGCTGCGTTTGAGAACGCTCAACCCCTAAGGTAGATACTGATCAACACAGGAACAAAAAGCCTCAGACTCTAAGCCAAACCGCTCCAAGACAGAAGGTTTTCTAAGCAACAGCATGACCTTGGTAAACTCCAGCTTCACCACTGGCTGATGTACTGAAAAGGAGAAAGAAGCAATTCTTTCTTTCCTTTATAAGGGCAGCAGGCTTTGTCCCGAGACAACCTTTCCTCCACGTCAGTATGTGAACGTGCGTGGCCGTTCTAGGATCTAAGACTTAAAGCCCTAACCTAAGAGTGGGTGGGAAAGGTCCTTCTTTCACCCTGACAGCCGTGTCTATGTTTTCGTAAGTTTGCTGATATCCTGTGGAAATGCACTCTGTGAGTGCCTCCTTAGTCCACAGAGCTTCTGCTAAGGGTGCTTCTGCAGTAACAACATCGCTCAAGGAAATCTGGAGAAGCCGCTCTCCACCAAATTGACTCACCTTGACTTCACCTTCTTCTGACTGGTTGTCTGAGTGCCGAGGAGAGGAGAGCTCATTCCCATGCTCGTCTTTGACTTTGGGAGCCTTGTTCTCTTTCTTTACTCGTGGTTTCCTCTTCTTTAGCTTGCCCTGGTGAAAACACAGAAGAGGTCAGGGCAAGCAAATAGTTACAGCTACTCCCTGGGGACACATCCCATCTCCTGAACTTCCTGCAAACAGCTGCAGGTCCTGCAAGGTGGCAGGAAGCCTGGTCAGGCTGAGTCCTTCAGTAACTGTGATAATTACTCGTCCCTTACTAATTGTCATTTCTGTATCACAGGGCAATCGGACAACATACAACTCCATACTCTTTCATGTAGATAATGTTCAGTGACCTGGGAAGAGAGGCTGTCTCCCACCACCAGCCAGCCACTCACCCCAAAACCCCCAGAACCAAGCAGGCACATCTCACCTCTTCCCCATCTTTCATGTTTTCTTTCTTGTCCAGATCTTTCTTCAGCAGTTTCAATAGATAATCAACTCGGGTCTGGAGCTGTTTTCCCTGAGGTTTCTTATCTGTCTCAACAGGTAGGATCTTTGATAAAGAAGAAAAAAAAATACACACATATGCACCTATCAAACCTTGACAAGACAGAGGTGCACTAGCAGCAGTCCTTCCAGGCCCAGCAAAGGGTTGGAGATGCTGCGTCTTCTGGGGGAACGGAACTTCTTCCAGCTCCTACAGAGACTCTCTCTGTCTAGCCAGAAGCAAAGCTCCTAGCAAACATCCCTCCCCTTAGCCTTTTGCAGGCAGCTCTCTAGGTTCTCTGTGATCTTTCTTGTGAAGTGTGCAAAAAGAAAAAAGAACAACAAAAAACTTTGCAAGCTACATTTGGAACTCTGAGTCCACTCTCCTTGAAGATATCAGATCTACTTGGGACAGCTCTGTCACTGCAGGCTGGTCCCCTCTGGTAACCTGAGACATCGCTACAGCAATGTTACAGATGCAGAATTTTTAGCAGAAAATGAGGCTGCAAGGTGCCACTTTGTGAGGGAAGTATCTCAGTTTGCCAACTAGGCTACATTTAGATTGGATATTAGGAAAAATTTCTTTACTGAAAGAGCAGTAAAGCATTGGAACAGGCTGCCCAGGGAAGGGGGGGAGGCACCATCCCTGGAGGCAATCAAAAAACATGTAGACATAGCACTTCAGGACATGGGCTAGTGGTTATGGTGGTGTTGGGTAGATGGTTGGACTTGATGATCTTAAGAGATCTTTTCCAACCTTAATGATTCTATGATTCACACTTTGCTGGAAATTGGGTGGCCATATCTAGGGCAATTGTTTCCACTGTAAAATGCCTTTCAGAACTTCATGTAGGAGGGCTCTCAGCCACAGTCTAATCTTTGCTAAAAACACTAGTGGGGATATCATGGGAACGTAGCATATTTGCAATTAGGAGGGCTCTCAGCCACAGTCAAATCTTTGCTAAAAACACTAGCGGGGATATCATGGGAACGTAGCATATTTGCAACAAAGCTGATGTAGAGATTCTTGATGTTCCTCAGCTCTGCGTGCACTTCGTTCTCCTTCCATTGTGCTGACACAACGGATGGAGGCTTATTTTTAACCTGGATTGCTTCAGCATGGCCCCCCTAAACAGTTCTTATGGGAATGACTGAGGAATAGAGGAACCAAATGGAGGTTTTCCAGCTGGTTTTGCTGCCATAGCCAGTCACGTAACTATACCCTCAAAGCTAACACAAACCAGTCTCGACATATGCAGCGTCAAATCCGTGAAAAATTATTCCCACACAGAAATTCAGACTCAGATTCTTGTGAGATGCTCAAAGAAGTATCAAGTCACGATTATGCAATGCACCCTCTATACTGTGCATGTAACCACACATGTCAGCGTTACCATTTTCTTCCTGCATCATTTCAGTGTGGTTCATATGGTACTCATAGAAATTTACTGCCAATCAAACAACACAACTCTGCTTTCCACCAAGCGTGCAACATTCCATGGAGGTCACTGTTTATCTTGTTATTATTTTTTTTTTTTTTGGAGTGGTTACAAACATAAACATCTGTTTCTGAAGTAAATCATATGTGTTCTCTACACTGCAACAGACCCAATGCAAGCAACGAGCAAAGTGACCTACCTTATCAGATAACTTCAATTCCGGATCTGTTTTAATTAGCTCCCAGTTGCCATAACCATGCTCGTAAATTCCCACTAACAAGCGAGAATCCTCCTCCACTCCCCAGTCTACATCAAAATGGGCAGCTTTGACACGGCACGTCAGGCGGTACCTGAAGGCATTTCAAAAATGAGCTACTTTTAATGCTGTGGAAGATAAAGCTAACCCACATACCTAGGCTATTGTCTTTGCACTACAAAATCCAAATTCCCCAAGCCTCTTTCTGCACTGCCTACTCAGCCAAACTCACTTCTTCCTTTCCTCTGGGTCCGTGGGAATGGATTTATGCAGCATTTCAAACTCCTCTTCATGTTGGATGATGGATTTCACGTTGACTTGGACACCAGAAATCTTGATAGTAGGACCTCTTCTTTTTCCAGGTCCTTTGCCTGCTCAACAATATGACACAGTAACTAAGAGAACCCTTACAGAAAGAAGTGCCTCTGTAAAGAAAGATTTGACACACAGAGACTTCGCCCACAACCTCTTATTTGAAGATAATGAAGTATGCTAAGGCACACCCAAAATATGGGTTTTTTTCATGAACTCACTTAGATCTGCAATCCAAACACTTCCCAGTATCGTTTTCTTAAAAAACACACCTAAGTGCACTGGAGCTGTTACTTCAGTAGTTCTGTTCAGCTGCAACAGGCAGAGACCTAGCAAGAAATCCAGCCCAGCCCCCCGAATCTCCAAACCAACAGCACAGAACAGCCCCAGGGCGGTTGACGATGACAGCTCCGGGGAAGTGCTAATTGCAGATCCGGTTTTACCACGGAGTACACAGAACCAGTGCGACTCCCAGTCACAGGAGCTGTTAAAATATCTGCTTTGCTTTGTGGTCCTGCATTAAATAAGCTGCTTACTTCAGCTTCTCCCCACAAAAAGTCATTCGCAAGCAGATGCCAACAGACCCAAATGGCACTTTCCAGCCTGAGCAGAAGACTCGGGGGTTTCTGTCCACTGGCGAGAGCTGCCTGGCAGAGATGGGATGGTTTGTGTGCTTGCTCTTTGCTTCTAAGTTGCAATGTGGCATGCCTCCCTGGCCAGCCAAGGAATGGTTTCCTCACCAGCTCCATGGAACACCCACAAAAACATAACACCAGCAGCACACAATCCTCGTGCTTACCTTCACCTGGGTTTTCTTTCAGCTGCTCCTCATATTCCTGCATTGCTGACACACAGCTATTGTGGATGAGTTCCCCTAACCGTTTCAGATCCGCCACAGACTTATCCACCAGCTCAGCATCCCGGGCAATACACTCCAGCCTGGCAAAGGGGATAAAAGTTTTGTATCTGATACAGTCTATTCCCTCCCAGTCACTCCCAAAGCAATTGTTTTATAGCTCGTAGCAGTTAATGCTGTGTATTATATATATATCTATATATGATCATATGTAACCAGCACAAGTCAAGTTTGTGCAGGAAACAACACAGTTTTAGTCTTTTATTAGGTCTAAGAGCTGTAGTACAGTGCAGAAGAAGTATAACTGACCCAGTTCCTGGGATTTTTTCATACTAAATCAAAATTTTCTATCTTGGGCACAATAAGCACCCTCTGTGACTGTCCAATGGTCTTTTCACGCTTTCCCAGTTCTACATTATCTCCATTTGATGGTCAAAAGCTGCCATCTGCTGTTCCTTTTGCCTGGCTGAAGTTAGCAACATCAAGGCCCATACTTTGTATTTCACAATAGAAGAGTACAACCAGCTGAAAAAAACCCCAGTCATTTTTCATACAATACATGCCTCAGCTTCGAGACCTCAGCCAACAGTTTTCCAGACCCAGCTCCACGCACCCACCTCCCTTCAGTTATGCTGGGGCACAGCACCCATGCAAGGGCTCGAGGTCGGCGTGTGCTTCTTCCCACCTCCCTTCAGCAGGGATATGGCAGCAAGATGATTGAATCCATCCCAACTGGATGGTCCAAATCCAGTCTTGAAACTAATACACGTGAAGAAGCTTGGCAATCGCTTTGGGAAGCATTTGCTGCTCGCTTTCCTTTTGAGGTGGAACGGAAATGTCCCCAAGGGCCAGACCCTGCCAGCAAGAAGCTGCTGCGCGCAGCCTGGCGCCACTGCTGCTGCTTTTGGGCCAGCTTTCACCAGCAGCCAGGACACGAGGGGCTGCAGGGCAGTGCTTGCGCTCCTGACCAGGCGACAGCAAGGCTTTGTGCTGTCCATGGAGGTTGTCTCAAACACCCAGAGCAATGTGCGTACGGCTGTGCTTAGAAATACGACGTTCCCCCCGTGATAACCCTCTGGAGCAGGGCCAGGTTGAGACTTACCGTTCAAGAGGCAGTCCAAACTTCTTGTAAGCCTTGATAAACCTAAGGAAAAAAACAATGAAAATCAGAAACTAAACCAACTACCATAAAAAATGGGTCCAGTATCACAAATACGCTTGAATATATTAATTACAGCCTGCCATGTTATCAACCTCATGTTCCACACTGATTAGCTAAGCATCGCTCAGGACTGGGAAGCCTAATCCATTAACCCCCACAAAGAGTTTTGTGACCTTGGCTGCAGAAGAACACAACATTATTACAAATGGTGGATGTTTGACAGATGAGGGGAGGGAAAAAAAGAAAAGAGGAGAGTCGTAACTGTAGTGTAAAATAACTGAAAGAAAGCATTGGCTCACGCCATGTTGGTAATTATTAACTTCATTTTTCCAAGGAGAAAAGAGGCATTAGATCAATGTCATTAGTAATTTTAACGCTTAGGCTGTAAGCGTAACAACCCATCACAGAAGAGCCAAATGTCGTGCAATACATCACAGAGGTTTGCAGACAAGGATTGCTATTTATTTTTATGTTTATATTTATTGTGAAAATCCTTGCCATGGCTAGCACACAACTTCAGGGCAAAAGTCAGACACTGGTGCTGCAACTGAACAGTGCTTCGTGCTGGGAGCAGACCCAATGGCTTCAACTACAGATTATTTTTTTAAATGAGGGGGTTTTTTCCCTTATTTTTTTATTATTTTGTGCTCTTTCAGCCTCTTTCTGCTACATCACAATAACCTAAATGGCTGCTACAGTTTACACGGCAACACCTCCTTCTACCTCTATGGTTTCAAGTCTGGATACGGGGCAGCTACCACAATCCGAAAAGTTCGACTGTCTCCTGCTTACAAATACATCAAGTCAAAGATGGAGAGAGAGTCAAGGAAAACTCCCAGCCTCCTCTTCTCCATCTTTGGCTGAACATCTGGGCCATAAGACAAAGATCTTTGAGAAAGGCTCAAAAGTTTGAAGATACCAGATTTCTATATTTGTTTTCTGAACTATCTCTTGTACTCAGCACTGACCTCCTGATTTCAGCATCAGTAAATCCTTCCACAGTATCTTTTCGAACGCTCCGAGGACGCCCCCTGCGCTTTGGTCTCTTCTCATCATCGGTATCATCAGTTTCGCTTTCTGATCCAGACGATCTCTGAAGCCTTCTCTTAGTTTCTGCATCTGATTCACTGTCGTTTGTCTGAGCCTGTATGTACCAGAAACAAAAAAGCAGCACAGTTAACAACCACTGATCTGCTAACCCTTTCTGTCCCACCCATGCAGAGGCACTATTTCATATTCAGACTGTAAAGCACCTTGGTATCTCTTCCTGAAGGTGCAGAAGCCCATGCCATCAACCCAGAGAGGCTGCACATCCTTGCAATTTCCAGCTAGCTAAGGCTCTGGTGGTCGTCCTCCCTTCAGAGCCCTCTAGCCAGCAGTTACACAACTACATTTCGATTTAAAAGACACGTTAAAACACTTTTATTACAGTGGTTTTGTGTCACGGTCCCTTAGGCTGTTTGGAAAACCAGGACACCTCAGAAGTGAATCTGGAATCATTCAGTATGAATTATCCTTCTCTCTAGTTTTCACTGTAATGTTTTTCCCCAGCTCATCCCAGCAAACAGTTCATAATCCCTTGAAGTCCCACATGCCAGAAGAGTCTCCTTGCATAGTCTGCTTTCTGTTGGACTGGGGTAGATCCCATCTCCTACAAAAGAACTTGGGAAGACACCATCTCTTTTGCCTGCAAGAGCCATATTTAGGCAAGACTAGCCGAGGGAGATAGAGAGCCAAAGGAAAAGAAACAGCCAGAAAATGGCATAAACTGCAGTAAAACATGCGTCATACAGTTGGATATCTTGCTCTGTGCTCACTATAACTTCTCTTTATTTTGTGTTGCCGTTGCCAGCTCTCGCCTCCTGCCTCTCAGCTCCTTGAGATGGGCTGTACCTTTTTAGTCGAGCTCCGGATTCGAGGCAACATGTAGATTTCCTCCAATTCTTTCTGCCTCTCTTCCTCCTCCACCTTTTTCCTCTGCTCCTCTGGAATGATATCATCCCAGTCCTTCTGGGACCGCTCGTCCAGTTCTGTCTCTTCCTCCTCCATAGTTGCAAAGTTGGCCACCTTTTATAAGCAAAGGAATACTTTTAGAAATTCCCTCCCCTGGCAGGAATACCCCAGAGCCATCTGTTAAGCCTTAGCTCCTTCCCCATAGGAATTTTGCCAGCATTTCCGTAACTACTTTATAACTGATCCCTATGTCACTGCATGCCTGGTTCCTTGCCATGTCTTTAGGCTAACAACTTTTGAGGAAGTACGTGCAGTTTAAGAAGTACTGCTGAGCCTCTAAGTTATCGGGTTTGTTTCCAAATTTGGTAAATTCTGCATCTTATTCACAGCCTTCAAAACCACTTTTTTGAAATGAAATTAATACCTACATATCTCCCGGATATCAAACCCAGACAACCCCTCAGCAAACCGCTTTTTACAGGTCACCTCTCACCAGTCCTGGTTTGTTACACCTTACCACCATGGCAAGATGAGGGGAGCAACATTCCTGCACCCCACTACAGAGCTGGGGGATCCATACCTTGAACTGGGAGAGGAGCTCGTCGGTGGCACTGGTGGACACTTCGTTCTCTCGTGTTTCAGCCAGACGTAAAATCTCATCGATGTCCATCTCCTACCAGTCAGAAAGAGAGATAAAGCGGAGGGTGCCAAGCACAGCAAGAGATTTGAGAACAGCAGAGGTTGTGAGAACAGACCCAAGCGGTGTGACAGCTCAACAAGCAGCTGTGATGTGCAACTGGGGACTGTGCCCCTCAGGGGAAGCTCTGCTACTCGGACCATTAAGAGATCTGGTCAAAGTACCCAACTGTCAGGCAATGCTGCGCTGAGGCAGGAGAGCGCGACCTATTCAACTTCACTGCTCTGACTCCTGCCTCTCTATAAGAACAACCAAAAAAGGAGGCTGAAGAAGTGCTCAGAGAAGGCAGGGAGAGGAGCTTTCAGCAGGCTGTGCTATAACTAGCTAACAAATCCTTGAGAGCCAAGGGACTCTCGTGGTGACCATTACTATTTAAGCCCTGACAACAAGGCTCTCCCCAATCTCGTGATTCCCCAAGCCCAGAGCTCACTCTCTTCAGCCTCTCCAGACTTACACGTATCCTATTCACCGACCTGTTCTCATGCACAGGGCAACTACAAACACACACGATGCCCCATGCAGACCTGCAACTACAAACACACACGATGCCCCATGCAGACCTGCAAAGGACTACAAGCAGCTCTGTGATTGCAGTTTCAAACTACCTGAGGCTCTGATTCTTCCCCTTCAAGCTCTTTGAAAAGATCTTCAGCTCCAAACTTCAGAATAGCTGTCAGCTCCTCTTTGTTGAAAGGATTTGAGCTGCAAGAAAAAATGAGATGGAAGACATGTCTTGAGCTCTTAAGGCAGCACTGCTACAACGTAAAACCATACCAAAGTTTTTCCTTATTAAAGAAGTAATTTTTCTACCCACACTATAAAAAGCATTTTTATCCATCTCTTGCCTCCCTGCCCTGTACCCTGTCAAACAAATATTGTGAGATACCAGCAGGTGAAGCTGGTTTGTGCCACGTGCTGTACTAGACACCTCTGTCTCCTGACACAAGCACTTACTTAGATCTCCCAGAGTTGTTGTCCAGAACAGTCCGGCCAGTGGTGTCCATGCGCTGGATCACCAAATGATCCAGCACCATTTTCTTCTTGGCCCTCTCAATGATCTCCTCTTCTACTGTACCCTTTGTGACCAGGCGGTAAATATTCACCTGAACGGCAAGAAGAGAACAGAGCTACTTCCCACACCTGAATACACTCTGCTGACACAGTGATACACCCCTCAGTTGTTCCACAGGAGACTGGTCTGCTGACATTGTCTCTTCATGTACAAGATGTGGCTTTTTAGAAGAAAAACAAGCATTTTGGTTTTTTATCTCAGGGGTACCAGGTAAAATCAGGCTGGTTAACACAGGTCTTGTAGTGTGCCTAAGCACAGAGTAAAAATCTTCCAAAACAATCACTCTAAATCCAAACTAGCATCACGCTTTTCACATAAGCAATAAAATACAGTAAAGGTGGATGTTCCACTTTCTAAAGAGTTTCAGGGCAAGAAAGAACAGAGTCCACTAGGCTGAGAAATGTGATACCACAGGTTAGGTTCTTGGTTTTGAACCATCCCAGAACCCAAAGTCAACAGAAAGATCAGGCATCTGGCAAATCTGAGCTGATTTTTTGTCTCTTGACTTTTCAATAAGCTTCTCTTGGGTCAGCAGCACTCTCTGGAATTGGGACTGGGGGCAAAAAGACCATGTTTTCAAAAGCTCTGGTGAGGTAGGAGCCCATTTAGATTCACATACTGAAGCAACAGAAAAAACGACTCGAGTAACTCTTCCAACCTGCTTCTTTTGTCCAATCCGGTGGGCGCGAGCCTGAGCCTGAAGATCATTTTGGGGGTTCCAGTCCGAGTCAAAGATAACAACAGTATCAGCAGAGGCTAAATTAATTCCCAGCCCTCCAGCTCGCGTTGACAACAAGAAACAGAAGTCCTGGGGTGGAGAGGGGAAAAAGGCATCCGTGAGTTAGCCAGCCTGTAACTGTGGACATAAAACAGCAGTGGTGCCTTCAAAGCTATGTAAAGAAATGGAAGGAGGGCTCTGTTGTACTTGTGATTCTTAAGAAATCAGGCTAAGTACCACTGGAGTTTAAGCCAAGGCACACGGTGAGGCGGTGCTGGCAGGGGCGAGAGGCGTGCTGCCCCAGGAAGGACCTGGTGTGCAGCGTTATGAGAGAGCAACGCAAACGACTCGGGGCAAGGGCACCTTGGAGTCATTTTTGAAGGTCAGACCACGCTACCCCACAAGACTCCTCCAAAGGCAGCAGGCAAAGAGGTGCTTTTTGTTGCCTGAAGCCTGCTAGGGGAGAGAGATAGCAACTTGCAGAGTGTCTGAGCCACTGCCCAAGGGCACGAGGTGCCTGGTGGGAGCCAGGATGTCTGAGGCCCCACAGATGCCCCCAGGAGAGGGGAAAGGCAGCTCCTCTGGGCATTCCCGCTACTCTCCCACCCAGACTGCTGTTTCCTTCTCACTTTTATTCATGCATGAAGCACTTTGCTGTATCTCCTGTGTCAACCACGACTGCCCCCCAGCCCAGGCTTCTGCAGCAAGGACGGGTATTTCTCCAGGCTGGGCTGACCATGGCACAGAACAAGTGCCTCACACCAGTCACTGTGAGTCAGCAAGCCCAGACAAGAGGCTTGAGATGCCCTCTTCTATTACACTGGAGATTTTCACCTCCTACATCAGACTCCACCGCCTGCCAACACTTAAAAATCCCCCTTTTGCCTCTGCCATTTCATATCCAAAACCAGCTTCAGACCGGAGGAATCCTTTAGCAACCGTCTCACTCCCTGGACCATGGGGAGAGAACTGCTAAACGCTGGCTCCTCCCAGCCCTTGCGGGACTTTCTGGAGATGTGACTTGCAGCCCTGCTGCTTGCAAGTGGGAGATTTAAAATAAGCAATCCGGCTAGCTGCAAAACCTGCTCTATCTCTCTCTTTAAAAAGTATCACGAGGGTACTGTAAAAAGAAATGAACCGAACTAATCCCCTCTTGGCAGTCGCAACCTGACTGAGCCATAAACGCCTGTGGCTTTGGGAGCCCCCCCGGCCCATCCCGAGGCAGGACAGTCCCCGCTGCGGTACCTCTGAGCCGTCAGCGTTGAAGTGGTCCAGCGCCTGCTTTCGGATCTCCCCTTTGATTGAGCCGTCCAAGCGCTGGAAAAATCAACAATAATGATAAAAGAAAGAAGGTAAAGGAGCCCTGAGGAATGGCTGAATCCAAATTCTGGGAGCCCTAAGGCCCCCTTCCCTGCCTGCAGCATTTAATCATTAAAAATAACCACCAATTAAAAATAACCGTGCTGGCTTAGCCGGCTGCGTCGCGAGGGCAGGAGGCGGGAATGCTCGGGCAACAGTCACGCAGTGGGTGACACTGCAGCTCTCGTTACAGGCTCCCAGCCAGGGTCTCTGTGTCCACTGTCCTCTCCTTGGGGCTCATCACAGGACACAGCCCGAAGCAGGGGCCTGTCAGAGGCGGTGTTTTGCAGAGATGAGGCCACACTGAAATGAGGGGACTACAGCTTCCCTCCAATACATTTTATTTAGTGCATCCTGTAACCCCAGACACTAAGCTCTGGAAAACTAAGTGACTTCCATCGCCTGGGTTCCCTCCGCATTTTCTTGAATTTTCAACTGAAATCTCGCTGTTTTCCACGCTGATGTTTCTCACCTGAAAAGGGTAGTGTTTGATAGTCAGGTACTCTGCCAAGATGTCCAGCATCCTCACCATCTGGGAGAAGATCAGCACCCTGTTGCCTCTCTCCCGCAGCCTGGTCAGCAGCTTGTCCAAGAGAATCAGCTTTCCACTGCTCCTGATCAGAGACTGAAGAAGTAACCGTCATTCCAGCTGATGCCTTCCAGCCTTGCCCTTACGTACATTACACATATTGCATACATTACATTGTGTATATTACAGAGACATGCAGAGATCTGGTTCTTTTGGGGTCATGCTTCTCCTGTACATCTTCAATCTAATCAAATCATCTGGCAGAGGCCACACACAAAATGAACCATCCAAGACAGATGCATGCATTGCATGCACTTCCCACCCTAGATGGCCACCAAACGTTGCCTACAGTGGACGCAGAGGGCTGGAGATTCAAGTGGCTTAGCAGTGACAACTGTTTTTTATGGAGAAGCTGCACAAGCTAAAGCTTTGCCAGATCTGACCTTGGTGGGAGGACAGAAGAAAGAGGAAAGTTAAGGAAAAAAGGTGGTAACCACAGACACTGCCCACCTGCAGGGTCTCAAGTCCATTCTCTCTCTCGTTTTCCTCAGGAGGTTTGATAAGGTAGCAATGGTTGCAGCACTTTTTCAACTCCATCACAATGTTCAGGAAGCCAGATGTGCTCCCCCTTGTTCCCTTTGAAAGAGCTTTGTAGTTTCTTGTCAAAATCCACCTGCAGGCAGGAAAAAGAAAGTCCAGATCACTTCACAGTGCGGAGTGGGCATGCTGGAGTTTTGGAGGAAAAAACCCT